TCCCCTCTCGCCCGCCCCCACCACCACTCTTCGTATCCGTTTTTGTTCTTCTTAGCTCCGGGCAGCGCTCTTTAGAAATACTCCATTGGCGAAGTGAAGAAAAGGGCGAAGATCACCAAGCCGGAAACAGTTGCTTTAAATCACCGAAAAGTACCCAAAACACTTCGATAAAATGTAGGTCGTAGCATTTTTATATTTGTTTACATTTCATCCAAGCTTTCATGAACGTTTGGGTCACTAAAAGCAACTTTTTCCTGCCTGTCGTTCTTAAGTTAGTTTTTCTGTTTGCCAATGTTTAAAGGGTCTGTATTATGAGACTGTGTAGGAGGTATTATACGAGTTGGGGACCCCTACTATTTGGAATACCGATGCCATAACACTGGCTTACGCAAAACGTATAATTACATGGGGTGTGTTGGACACAGGCGGAACTAGAGCGTGTGGCAGCCCAGTGCTACCGCTTGAGGCGAATCGTTCTGGCTTACGAGGGCATGGTTGTAGTGTCCATCTTGCTGCCAACGCTACTGGCCGGCCAGCTCAGCATGCCAACGTGGCCGCGTCCGGAAGACACAGCAGCACCCAGGCTCGTGTACGCAGCAATGTTTACCGTGCAGGTAGCTTGTGCTTTCGATAAAGCATTCCGGTAAAGCTGAAATGCAGAAGAATGCGGGAAACAAGAAACGGAAGTCACCATGTAAAAGCATAGTGAGTTCCGTTTTCTTCTTCCCCGCATTCTTCTGCAGTTCAGCTTAACCGGAATGCTTTATTCTGCATGTATGAGATCGGCTAGGGGTACGAGTACGCAAGGCCCGGTGAGCGGTTGAGGCAATGCTCGGCCCGGCGGGCCGTCCGAGCGCGTGGGACCCGCACGGCTGGCTTCAGGTTGTGATTTTTCCGATTTTTAATGTTTCACAATAGAAGCCAATGCATCCAGTACACCGTATGGCCTCTCCTCTTCCTAGCAGTACCCTTATCGGGTATTCCGCTGCAAGCCAACCGGAACCTAAAGAAGAAAAGCATGACTGCTCGATCTGTTTCCCTCTGCGCGCTCATTGGGTGACCGCTACAGCCACGCCATCTTTGGCCAATCATCGTTTAGGAGGAAACAGATCGGGCAGTCATGCTATTCTTCTTTAGGTTCCGATTGTGTTATAGCGGAATACCCAATGAGCACCTTACCCCATTCGGCGGAACCATAACAAAGCAGAAGCCTCTAGTCGCAATAATATCTCAAGCGCCCTCATTTTGATGTTGTTTTTGATAAAACTTGTGTGGTAGGGTGCTATTTTTTCACACCGAAGATGATAGGACTACTCAATATTACCGAAACGCACGAGAAATTTTGCATGTTATGGTTCCCGCTACGCGCTGCCACCGCACCACCGAATGGAGCTCATTCCTTCCCGGTGAGTCGTCATTATTTTGTATTTTTAAAAAAGAGCATACTGCACGGTTGCGTAGTTAAAGAAATCGTCAGGGTGAGTATCAAGATTTCAGGTTAACTTGAAACTTACTATGGACCTTCATTACAACTAGGTAATAAAGGTAAATGGTAAAGGTAAGATGTACGCCAGACCACGTCTCGCGTAACAGGCTTCGCAATATCTTACGAAACACTGTGACGCTGCGACGCGCCTGGCATACATCTACCTTGGCCTGCGGCGCTGACACCCGATTCGGGTAGTGGGAAATTGTACACAAAGGTACGGGCCTACGGTCCGTCAACGGCCAATCACCTCGACTAAGCATCCAGGGTTGAGCATTTTTTGGATTGTTTTCGTAAAAAATACCCGCTAGCACCTCAATGATTTGATCTAGAGCAAAACGGACAAAAGTTTCGCCCACAGGGCTCTACTTTGGTGAGTTACCCCCTAGGAAACTATAAAAAAATATTTCCAAAAACCGTCATTATTAGGACCCGTTGTTTTTGTTTTTTTAAAAATCCAATTTTTGAGCTAGAAAATCCCAGGTCACCCGCTCAAGTCGTTCTTGAGTTTTCTTGCGGACAGACAGACACACACACACACACACAGAGAGAGAGAGACGGGCAGACAGACAGACAGGAAAAGTTTTCTCCGATCAGACGAAGTACTAGGTAGATGTACGCTGACACCGGAGTTGGGCAAAAGGCACGGTCGTAAATAGGCCTTCGGCCCCAAAAGTCACAAATTTTGTGCCTCGGGGTCTTAGACGAGTTACCCCACCGGAGACCATAAAATGTTTGAGAAAAACCATTACAATGTTTTGGGGCGATTTTCGTGTGAAAACGCCCTCTGGCGCCCAAACGGTCAGAGATAGAACCAAACGGACAAAATTTTGGCCCACAGGGTTCTACTATGACGAGTTTCATCTAAGAAAGATGTCAAAAAAAAGTTTTTTCAATAGAAATGTTTTGGCCTCTTTGTTTTTGATGTTTTTGACACGTAAATTTTTAAGCCAGAGGGCTCAAAATGGATCTAGGACAACTCGCCCCAGTCTAACTTGCCCCGGTATAAAGTCGCCCCATGACCATTTCGCCCCATACCCATGTCGCCCCAACGCTAAGTCGCCCCAGTTGAAATCAGTTTTTCACAAGGAATGTGAACTTCTATACAATAAAAGAATCCGGACAAGTTGTGGCCAATGGCTCTTAAGTATGTGACTACCTACGTCGTCGTCCTCTGTGTTCTCCACGTAGCTCACCCAGAAAAAGGTTCGGTTGATTCAATAGAAAGAAAATATAAAATTTTTCCCTTAACTCGACGGAATTTTATTGGTTCAAGGGAAAATATCCCAT